GCGAAACCATACACTTTGACAGTCCCGGTGTCCCTCTGGTAGGAGTCCTTATCATCGCAGGCGTACGCCAACAGATACCTCTTGGGATGGAAGGCCACCGTAAACGTCGGCGCCTCCGTCTGTATCTCCGCCACTCTCTCGCCGGTCTCCACACTGCAGATATCGATCACCAGATCCTCGGACGCCGACGCCAGCAGTTGTCCATCGAAACTGAAGCTAATGGTACGGGCGGGCCATTCCAACCTCGATATCGTCCGCAAACACACCAAATGGTTGGCGTCCCATATGCTGACCATCGCGTCGGCCGACCCGACCGCGAAGTACCGGCCCTGCGGGTCGAACTCAATGCATATACAGGTGGCCGGGTGTGCGTTCAGCACCAGCTGCGGCTGCAACTGTGGGTACGACAGCACGTGGACGTGACCCTGACCTGAGGTCAAGAAGAACAGGTCGTTGTCGTTGTTCCACGAGATCTCGTTCACCTCGAACTTGAAGGGCTGTTCCCCACGGACTTTATGGGTGCGGGTGTCCACGAAGGTCACCAAATCCTCTTTGTTCCCGANGACTATTACCACAATAATGTCAAATCAACGGTCAATCTGGTGGACACTATGAAGAAGTACGAGGTCTACCATCTGGTGTACGCCTCTTCCGGTGCTGTTTATGGCAAACCTAAGTACTTACCCATCGATGAATGCCACCCAATCGGCCATTCCCTGACCAGTCCTTATGCCAGAAGTGTTTATATGTGCGAAAATATACTCCAAGACCTGTGCGCTAGTGATCCAAAGTGGACAGTCGTGTCGCTTAGGCTATTCAATACAAGTGGCGCCCATTCTTCTGGAGATATTGGCGAAGACACGCCAACTGTTCCCAAGAATCTGATTCCATACGTATCTCAAGTAGCAGTAGATCGTAGGCCAGAGCTCCGGGTTTATGGTAGTGATTATGACACGACTGATGGCACAGGTATTCGGGATTATATACACGTAGAGGATGTCTGCGATGCCATCAGTATTCTGTTGAATAAGATGTTGTCCGAGAAGTGGTCGAAATGGTATGCCTTTAACATCGGCAGCGGTTCCGGACATTCCGTAAAAGAGGTCTGAAACCAAGAATTTAGTAATAATTATACAGAATATTCTGATAATAATTTAATTCACAAACAATACCACAGATTATCACCGCATTTGAATCGGTGTCAAAACGCAGTATTCCTCACGTGTTGACAGACAGAAGAGTTGGTGATATCGCCCAGAGTTTGGCCGATATATCGCTCAGCGAACAGATCCTCAGTTGGAAACCCAAGAGGAATGTGAAAGATATTTGCGAATCAGTGTTTCGGTGGCAAAATGCAAATAAGGATGGCTTTGATGTCAATAATAATGATCATAAGAATTAGATGTGAATTATAATAAGCTCTGAAAAACTATTTCTAAATAATTTGATACTTTACTAAAATACTGGTTCACAAGAAAATTATATTTTTTATTGAAATTATTCTGTATTTATAATTTGAATTACTTAAGTTAAAACTACTAAAGTGTGTTATTTTACATCAATTTATTTTAATGTTACATTTAAAAGTATAAATTCAGAATAGTATATAAGAATCTTTGTATTTTATATTCCTTAACATTAATTTATTTTTAAAGACAATTTGTGTGGTATTAATAATTATGTAACTTATAATGATAATCTGTTTATAAATTATGAACAATTGATAGATTGAATAATAATAGTAATATTACAGTGATAGTAATTAATTTGAAAATAGTCAATTATTATTATTAACGGTTTTATTAAAACGTTTTTTTAAATAAATTAACTGTTTTTTTTAAGACAATGTATTACTTCATAATCATCTTAATATTACCACAAACTTTATGTCTGAGAAATCATAGTAACAGTAATTTGACTGCAAATGTACCACAAATGCCAACTAAATCACCCCTAAGGGGAACACCTTATCCGAGAGAATCGCTAACAAATGTCCATCAAATGAATATTAGCCACAAATGGGTCAACAAAAGTATCTCCAAATCACATGAAACCAAATCCAATGACACGAAGACTATGATTGCGGATCACTGGCAACGAATCGCTGCTCAAAAGCCTGAAAGCAAATCCAAAATCAGTGTCTTTATGGCCGGCTATCTCTTCTACCCGTTGTATCAATTGATTTGGTTTACCATTGGATATATCCGTCACGATCAGCACATGATGAACGCGTCCATCGCTCGCTACCTGTCCCCTCACTTCTATTTATTCGGTTCCGCGGTATTTGTGGTCAGAATTCCGGTGATAATCACATACTTGGCGCTCGTGTTGGGCCACAGAGTAACCTGTTTTATAATGTTTGACAACAAAGTGCCCAAAGGTGTGGTCCCCGAAGGACCTCAGGGTCGGAATCGTGCCATTCTTGTCGTCATTTCCAATGCTATTAAAACTGTGGGGCCGTTAGTGGGAGCACTGGGACGCATGCAGATGTATGCTCATGATAAGCTGGATAGGTTTAGACAACTTCAGTGATTGTTCCCAAACTATTGGTTTATAAATTATTTATTTATTTTGTATTAATTTACACGAATAGAAAGTTTGATTAAATAATAAGACTATTTTAATTATTGATTTTAGAAACTAGTCTATGATTCATGTTATGTTTAATTATGCAATAATTTTGTTGTACTACTAATTACTAATTAGCAACAAATATAGCAATAGATAAACACAAAACTTAATTAGACTTCTGATATACGGTGTAATCAATTGTTTGTAATCTATAATGAGATGTGAATAATGAGATGAGTTTTATATTTACAGTATCACTAACTTGTAAATAATTTCCATTTTAAAAAATTAATTTACAAAATAATCAAAAGCGTATCAAACGTTAAACCACTTTACAGTCATTCAATAATCTTTATTCAATTGAATTTACAATAAAACACAATTTCTTTTACATAAAAAACTTTACGAATATTTATGTCATGAATGAGGTATAAAACATATGTCAAAAACAATTGCGATGAGGGAATGGTATGCAAACACGAATGACTATCGCTTCGGAGCCACCATTTCAACCGCTGTTCGCGAAACCATACACTTTGACAGTCCCGGTGTCCCTCTGGTAGGAGTCCTTATCATCGCAGGCGTACGCCAACAGATACCTCTTGGGATGGAAGGCCACCGTAAACGTCGGCGCCTCCGTCTGTATCT